AATTTCCCTTGGTTTCATGTTTGTATCTCTTTAGTTGAAGGCTCTGATAGAATTTTTATTTTATATAGTTTTTATATGTATTCGTATTTTTTTAAAAAAAAGTTTGTTATTGATCGACATTATGTTACATCACTTAATTTTGATTTAATTATGGCATCTCACACCCCAATAAGATATCTGTTGACGAATTATCCTGGAAAGATCCCTTGGCTAGCCAGGTTATTAGCAATAATTCAGATATTGTGGAGAAATTATCTAAAGGCTTAAAAAAAGGATTCATGGTAAATAAGTTCTTATTAATTTCACGATCATATTTCACATCCCTTCAAGGATCCACAGCACGCATAATCTTATGAGGTTCCAATTTTTTACATTCGCTATTAATGCTATATGATACTTTTGTTAGAAACTGGCTCGTAATATGACGCCTGAACCCATACCAATGGTTAAAAAATGTTCGGAGAATTTGTATCAAATTTCATTACCCAGGAGAACATTACAAGTTGGGATAAACTGAATCATGATGGTAGATGGAAAGAACGAGAAGAAGATATCAAGCAGATAGTAAATGAAATTTTTTAGTGTGTTGAAAGACATTTGGAGTAACCCAGCATTCGAATCTGAATTTGCAAAATCATTAAATGAGGGGACATACCAATCTACCGTCATAGTGTTAGCAATTCGAGCTGTATTAAAAAATCTCCCTATGGGAAACTCTTTTTTTATTAGTACTTCAGAGAAACAAAGTATCGCTAGCGCTAATAGAAAAGGAGAAGGATGTATCGGGAGACGACCAGATATTATGTCTGTAGTAAAATATCTTGATAGAATTTTTGAATTTATGTACTCTCGCCTATTTTGCAGTTCTCAAAAAAAAAAATGGATGATGAGATAAAGCTATGATGAGAAACTAACGACGGAATGTATTTGGTACATGAAAGCGTCAATACTGACAAATACCAGTTTGGTATTGTTGGGGTACAAATAGCGGGAAATAAGATACATCTGAATGCCCTTGTCAGAGATAAGGTTAAGGTTAATCGATATTACCACCTACAATCCGCCAAGATTCCTGTACAATTATCAGATGCGAGCATTGTAACTAAATTTGTTGAAACTTTATCACTTTTACGCAATATATTAATTACAAATTTATCTTTGTTGTATCATGGATCGGTATGTATATCAGAAAGACCAAAGGAGGATAGTATAACCATAGATTCTGAATAGGTTTGATTTTAAATTTATTTCTCTTGTATTTCTTCGTTAATAAAGCTATATATTGATATCTGAAAAAAAAACAAACCAATTTTATTATACATATTGAGAATTACTGAATCAAGATTATTCGCTTTGAGATATCTACATACCTCTTTATAATAAAATACCTCCTTTTAAATCTTGTGTCTTCTTATTTATGATAGTAATGCGATCTTCGTCTTTTCTTTGCATGTATTTACCCCGGTTTAAAAATTGCATATACTGTTTAGGATTATCAGTGAAATCTACCTAGAGTCTTTCGTCTTTTATTTTTAGATTTACGAGACGATATATCTATTAATTACTTCAATTTTTTTTTCTTGCAAAAGAATAGGCATGACAATTTGTCGTGCGCAAGTAAAAATTCAATTTCAGAAATATTACTCCGAAATTCTTACCATTCAAGAAGAATCAATCTATCAGAAGAAGAGCGTAATTAGGTCATTAACAAATTAACCATGCATTTCACTGATTCTCTAAAGTTAGATCTGTATTTTAGTATAGATAAGGGAGGCAAACATCAGATTGATGCATATTAGGTTCTCGGTCTACATTGCCCACCATGTAGGAAAATCATACGAGTTTGCAAGGTAAGTGATGGAGGCAAAAGGATATATTATTTGCATTGCGATGATATCAAAGATCCCACTCGATAAGGTGTTAGAAGTGTATTCTGGAAATGTTTCAAATCAGCCAATCCCATGGAACATGCTCAAAATTTCCAGGTAAAAGCATAGCAGTGGAAGCACAAAAAAATATGGTTGTGAATTAAATGTCTATTAATCGAAGGTCCATAATAACACATTTAGTATTATTTATTTGCCCACATTTCAGGCTTATTTTTTACCATATGTATAAAATTGTGGAATCAAGAGATAACGGCAAAATTATGTTTAGTTTACATTTCCATATTAATATTAATATACAATTGAAAACGGAAATATATACTTGTATTGCGATTCAAAAATAAATTAAATACAAACTTTTCTTATCAATAGGATTCCAAATGGAATGTGTAAACATTGGGAGATAATGTTACTAAATACAAGAATTGAGATAATCCTTATCGCATCACATGTTCATCCAATATCAAATGCAAAGAGTCATATGACATAAATAAATATAAATGAACTGCCAAAAGCGTCAATGACTCATTCTTATAATTTACAAACGGTAGTAAATAATTTGAACAAATTAAGGCACTTCATTATTAAAATCGCATGATGATAATTTTTTATATAAATAAAATAAATTTCTAATCGCATACAGTAACTTTAACTGAAGCAGTCATGAGCAACATCCCTAATTTATTAGATTTGTGGAAGAAACATATTGGTAAATGGCCACCTGAACCTGGAGAACGTAAAAAGCCTGAGAAACGTAAGAAGCCTGAAAAACATAAAAGGCCTAAGTCACCTGAATTCTATGATGCGGAAACTGGTGATAAACTCACGTTCCCCAATTATAATAATAATGACGATGAACCGATTCCAGTCAAGGCCATTGTATTAGATAATGAATACATGAAATTCATGAAGGAAAAAAATCTTACTGATGCTCAAGCTGCTCTTGCTGTCAAGGCTGGACGTCAAGCATACAATAACTATTATAATTCTTCTCGAAAACCCACATTATCGGTTGCTGCTGTTTCCGATACTGGCAATAGTGGAGCAAATGGTTCTGCACGAGAGCCCGGAGACAATCCTCCAGTCTTTGATCCTAAACTCTCAAGTCAACCTTCACGTAAAGGCTGCATGGGACGTTCAGGATGTGCGGAATTTCAATTAGCTTCTAAAAATTTTATTAAAGGAGATAAACCGAATGCTTCAGCTGTGGCCGCATACGATCCTATTAATGGAACACATGCAATGAGCAAGTGTATTAATTGCATACAAATCGACAAAAAATTCCTAGGACGGACAGTTACAGAAAAAATAGTATCTAAAAATAAAAGCAAAACTCCAATTCCACATTATCAGTCGCAGGACATTGCGGATCTACAGGGGGTCAAGTGTCACTCACTAATAAAAATTTTTTGATCAACAC